ACACAGTGCTTGTTGCTTTTGTTTTTCTGATCGTGCCTTAGGTGAAGAATTCATGAAAGACCTGTTTTGGGGAGAATGCTCTCTTTTACTTTGCTCAGAAGAGCAGTTCCTCTGTCAAGATTTATGCAGGCCTTCTTCCCATTGATCAGGTGTGTGCTGTAACTTTTGGTCAGTTTGCTGTCTAGGTGGCCTCTAGTCCCAGCTACACTCTGTCATAGTGAGGGTACCTCTAATCATATATGGAATTCCACCATTCAACATTCCATTCTTTGGCTCTTGATGCTTGCTATTCTTTAATAATCACAAACATTCTCCAGAAGGACAAGGACCACTTGAGGTTTCGACAATGACCGGCACTCTCGGGATGACAGCTCCATAAGGCTAAGGTTCTACTCGGGGAAAGAAAGGAGACAGTGCTTATGGGGAGATGAATTACCAGGGCTTGGGAGAAAGCAATGAAGCCTAAAATAGAAAGATGCAGCAAGAGGATTTGTTATCCCTCACACTAGAACGCCAGAGTAGGAATTCTGTCTGTTTTAATTATACACTCTTGAAAAATGCTCCACAACCAACAAGAGAGTATAAATGATCATGAATAATAAGCTGCACAGCATTTAGTGACATAACTTAGTGAATGTATTTATACTTCGCAAAAACCTATAGATCCATATAGCGAGCTCAGCTCTTTATCTGCATTATTTCATAAAAGCTTCCTTATTACTTGCAGTGGGGAGAGTAAGGCTTAGAGAGATTTAAGAAACTGCCCAAAGTCAAAGCATTACTGGTAGAGCTGGGATTTCAACTGGTGTATCTAATGCGAAGGCCTGTGCTATTAATTTCCTGTGGCACCGCTGATTTAACTAAGGGATCATAAAGGGAGAACTAGAAGAAATAAACATCCGTCCTGGAGTCTACAGCTTAAAAAGGTTTCTTTGTAATTCAGATGCTAATTTGTTATGTCCCTTATGTTAAACATGTTTGTTTGCTTGATCATAACCTTTTTCCCAAGGATCAAGTCCTTCTTTGACTCATCGTTTTAAACATTTTAAAAGCTGAGAGCCTTACAAGGCCACGTGGTGGTACGTGGACATCCCAAGGAGATATGTGAGCTCAGATTCCCAGGAGACACCTGAGGGATGGATACTGCTGCCCACAGTCCCGTTGCCGGAATAAGCACTGTTTTTGTTGTGGACAAGCACGGAAGGTATGAAATCACGCTAGTAGCCAGACTGAGGCAGAAATCTCTGCTGGCAGTTCATGGTTACCATGAATTCCTGGTTATAATTTTCTGAAATTAACTAACTACAGCATACTCATAGAAAATTTAGATATTGATATGTTCAATATGTAGCATCATTAAGATATACTTTGTAAACATTTTGAGCTCATTCTTATGTTTCTGATAGGTTTGATGAAGAAAGGCAAACTATGGAAGATGACTACTCCCAACCGGTTAGTGGTGCTTCTTCTGAAATCGAAAATAAAGTAGGCAAAACCCACCGATAGCGTGACTACCTTTTAATCCTAGAAAGTACAGTTTTTAAAGCCATGAAGATCAATTATAGACTATAAAACAACTTTTAGTATTATACTGCTGCTTGCGTGTGTGTGGATTATCTAAAAAAGCTTAGAGTATTACAGTAATTTATTTTCTTCTGACTTTCTGTTTTCCAAGAATTGTGTAATAACATTGTATATTTTTGTATATCACTTTTTCCAACAGAAAATCTGTTATTTAAAAAAATACATAACGTCTACACTACTGAATTCAACTAAAAGGTGAGACAAGGCTATTTTAAAAATAGAAATTTGCTTCATTGTTTAAATATTAGGGATCTTTAAATATACTGAAATTACTTGTTAAAACCACAAAGACATTTCTCCATTTTTCTAACTTATTTTCATTTCTATTTTTCACTAGCAAACAATCTAGATTTCATTATTTTCAAAGAAATTTGGACAGAGTTGAATTAGAATGTATTTTCTATTCCTAGTCGTTTTCTGTTAAGTATTTAATTAACTCTGTCAGAAGTAGACAATAAATTTTTTTTGGTCAGGATCTTTGCACTGAAGTGCATCCCCAGCTGTTTTCTGTTTTGTGACGTGATCTTTCTAAGTGACTAAATTGCCTAGGCTGGACTCAAATGTATGATCTTTCTGTTTCAGCCTCTCAAAGTGCTGGTATTACTAACGGTATGTGTTTCCATGCCTAGTAGTAAATATTATTTTTAATGAAACAATAAAAATTAAAATTTATTGGGAAGTGAGCCAAGTAAATTAAGTCTTGATATCAGATGTTATAATCTAGCAGAAACGAAGGATTTGTTTCTTATAAGTTCTATTCATTTCTTTTGTGAATCAACCCAGTATAAAGATAATAGCATCTCTGAAGGGCATGAGATTCAAATGTTAAAAATAAATGACCTCCTAAATTGCTGGCCTCCTTTGTAGCTACAGGACCTAAAAAGAGCCTTGATATTTTTGTTGCAGACTGTGGATTATGACACAACAGACTCTGCATAAGTAGGTTGCAAGTGTGGTACTCTTACATCGCAATGTAGGGTGCAAATATGATTAAGTGCTTAAATTCAAATTTAGTTCTCTTTTTAAAGAAAATGTAAACTCACTCCATGGGGTTATAGATAAAACAAAACAAAAAATCAGAAATTAAAACAAACTCAGGCAATGTTTATAAAAAACCCTACAATGTTGCAAAGTCAAATCACCTTTCAGGAAAACAAAGACACCCCTGGCATTCCCAACATAGATGATACAAATTGATCCTTCTCTAAACTGAAGCTAAAATCTTGATCTTAAGGATTTCTTGACTTAACAGAATTCTCAAAATTTTAATCCGACTCAAGTGACAAATTGTATGTGTTAGTTCTAATCTGGAACCACCCTGGATTTTACTAAACGTTTGTTCATGGACATTTGTTTCTTTCATGGGCAATGTTTTGAACTTAGAAACTGATGATGACATACGTTTTTAAAAGTCCCGCATTGCTTATATCTGAATCAGCAATAGGTGAATACTCTTAACTTATTTTAAGCAGTTTTGATTGCTCATCCTGTAAATTTTCAAATTGCCCGGTGATTCAATAAGACTTGTTAGAACCATTTTAAAATACTAGTCCCCCAGCACTAAAGGTGGCATTTGAAACCACAAACTATTTCACCAGAGATAATCAGAAGGCCTGCTTTTCATTTTAACAGTTAACAACCTGAGATAAGGATTCACGTTGGCAAGCAATTTCAAACTTATTATGATGTGATGACACCTTCTGTCCATTATCCAAAAATCACATCTCCACCAACAATCGCCTCTAGACATATAGTTTTATTGTTCTCTTAAAGAACCAATGTCTATTTTAATTTTCTGAGGAATTTTTCTTTGACTCTACTAAATGACAGAATATGTATCAGCATGTTCTCATTTATCGTTTTGTGTTTTTTCTTTTGTGCTAAATAGGTTCTTAAATAGGATAAGAAATTATTAAAACAATAAAGCTGCTCCCTATTGGCATTATTTTTAAAGTTGAAAAACAGTGGCGTTTATTTTGTTTCTCATTGCACTAGTTCTTTTGGCAGGAGATAATACTGAATGATTATAAAAGAGGCTTGAATTTTACCCTTCATCTCCACACTAACTAGTATGGTTAATGCTCAACTAATATTCACTAGCAGGGTAACTCAAAAGGCTTCTTCTGTAGTTTAAACTTGTAAACTGTCATTTTTTATTGCTGACTGAGCCCAAATATAATCTTCAACTCACTGATTGGAAATAATTTATCCTAAGGTTATAGTAGGCTGTATTTTGAATAAAACCATAATAAATTTCCCTCAATTGATTGCTTATATTTCACAGGCCTTTCTGTTGTTTTTTTTTAAAGTACTGGCTACACTAAATTACAGTATTTTTGTCCACATGTTGCAATGTCAGTTTTCTACTCCCTTTAAAACTCTATTCATGCTTCTCTTTGTCTTAATGTGTTGTTGACCCGAGCTTCATTTCATTCTGATTCTTAATTACTTATGTTAACTTGCATTTACTGTATTTAAAGAAGTTAGGTTTAGAGTGAGGGTTAGGGTGAGGGTTAGGGTAAGGTCTCAGTAGAAGTCATTCTGATTAGTTCTTAATAAAATGGAACTTGAGTCAAATGGCCTGGGTTTAAATCCTAGTAGAATTGTTTCTTCACTTTATGGTCCTAAATAAGTATTTAACTTTTCTACATCTCAGTGTATCCATACATAAGATGGAAAACGATCTTCCCATAGTATCTACCTAGGCTGGTGTAATGATTAATTGAGATAATGCCTTTTATATCCAGCATGGAATAATCTCTCAATATGTGTCCCTAAGCATTAGATTTATTGTACTTCAATATAGTTATCTTACCTCTACCTGGACTTGTAGGAAAGTCATGCAGCACTTCATATTTATGGAAAGTTTGTACCAATGTGTTTAAATTATAATCACAGGACTCAATCTTTTATAACATCTCCAAGTTTTCAAGCACGGCTTTAGTATACTTCCATGGGCCTCCAGTAAAAGTGGTTTCCTCTGTAAATAGAGAAAATTTAGTTTAGAATAGAACTCATCAGGCTACAAACATTCTGGAAGCAGGACCAGGTTTCTCTTTAGGGAAGCAAAGAGACCAGAGTGATACTTTTTGCAATCTGAAGATGTCAAAGTCTCTACTCTCCAAAAGAACAAAAGAAATTAATTTTTGCCAATGGAAGTGAAAAATGTACTACTCTCTGCTTCTTCCCACAGTACATGTAAATGTGCTGAGCCCATTTATTTTGCCAGATGGGATTTGAGACCCTGCTGAAACAGGAGATGTCCTCATTTTTGTATTTCCCTCAAATTCGGCCACAAACCACACTTGGGAGAGAAAAAAAAGTCGCCTCGTAAGCATGTTTACCTTCCACTAACAAGGAAGTTGAAACACCCGTAAGTGATGATTCACAATTTCAGTCCTATAAAAGGTCTTTGCTGGGTGAAAGACAGCAGCCTCTAGGCACAACCAGTCAAGATGCGCCCCGCTGCCCTGGCCGCCTTCCTGTTCCTGAGCTTGGCTCTTTGTCGGTCCTTGCCCCTACCCAGTGGTGACGATGATGAGGACCTATCCGAAGAAGACCTGCAGTTTGCAGAGGTAGGGTCTCCTGCCTTTCTTGACGGTGTGGTACATCTCTTGAATTCATTTGCCTTTTCAAAGTAGATCACTCTGGTCTCTTTCCCAGCGCTACCTGAAATCATACTACCATCCCACAAACCTTGCGGGCATCCTGAAGAAGAACGCAGCCAGTTCCATGCTTGACAGGCTCCGAGAAATGCAGTCTTTCTTTGGCTTAGAAGTGACAGGCAAGCTTGATGATAACACCTTAGATATCATGAAAAAACCAAGATGCGGTGTCCCGGATGTGGGCGAATACAACGTGTTCCCTCGAACTCTCAAGTGGTCCAAAATGAACTTAACTTACAGGTAAACCATAGCCTAGTTTGCCTTAATATTAGTCAGTTTTTTCTTCTAGTATTAAATGTCAAATATTAAAAGGAGGCCTTAACTACTTAATTGGAAGCTAAACCTAGGAATAGCTTTAAAGCTGCTGTTGAGAGTATTTGGTATCACCTGTTATTATAACACTAACCCAGCACAGTTTTTCAGTAAAAATATCAAGGTATTTCTTTAAAAAATGATATCAAATAGAAGGAATAGTAGCTTTAGGAAAATTTGCAAATGTAGTAATCAACTGTACTTTACAACAGTGCTTAGAGAGTTCCAAACTATCTAGAAATTTCATGGAGCTATGTAATGTATCTATATTAATAATCTCAAAATTTTAACATGTAAAATAAGCTGCATTATTCATCTGAATATTTTTCATTTATGAGGGCATATATGCAGGTATTTAGAGATACTCAAGTATCTGATTGAACTTTTTACTTCTTATGCTTGTGTGGCATCACAGTTAATAAATTCTACCTCCAGTAGAGCTTTTATAGAAGCCTTTGTATTTCTTAGAATGTGTTCTAAGAAAATATATTTTAAAATAGCTAAGTGTATTCTCAAATGCTCTAGCCTTCCAACATTTAATTGAAACCTCCTCTGTTGAATAGAATTGTGAATTACACACCTGATATGACTCATTCTGAAGTGGAAAAAGCATTCAGAAAAGCTTTCAAAGTTTGGTCCAGTGTGACACCTTTGAATTTTACCAGACTTCATGAAGGCACTGCGGATATCATGATCTCTTTTGGAACTAAAGGTACTTGTGCAGAACTATGTTTGAAACATTTTATATTCTAACCACTTAATTGGTTCCATCTTCAAATCCTCTCTCGGTCATTCATTACATGTACAGTGTTCAATGAAAACTCCCCAAGCCCCCATGCCGAGTACTACTGTACATAATGAGATCCTCACTCTTTGCTTTTGTGTGTAGAGCACGGTGACTTCTACCCGTTTGATGGACCCTCTGGTCTGCTGGCCCATGCTTTTCCTCCCGGACCAAATTACGGAGGAGACGCACATTTTGATGATGATGAATACTGGACAAATAGTTCCAAAGGTAAAATTTTTTATGAAGATATAATTTTTGGCTTATTAGGTTAGGTTAGATAGTAAACCTGGTTGTGCAAAGTTAAGCTTAAAAATAAATTATATTTAGTATATGATTCTATTGTGTAAAAATTTCAGTTTAGCTTATACTTGTTATTGTTTCCACAAGTGACATTTCTGCAAATCAATGTTAAACTTTACAAATGAATAAAGGTTACTTAATTTATCATTGTGGTTCAAAGACACCAATTTGGAAGTAAGACCAGAAGCCAGTGGTTTTCATTGACCTTAAAACTAAATCACTGTCAGCTAAGGTATTGTGACTGTGAATTACCTTTTGGCATGCCGAAGAAGTATAGTCTGAAAAAAAAAAAAAATATATATATATATATATATGGAGAGAGAGAGAGAGAGAGAGAGAGAGAGAGAGAGAGAGAGAGAACCAGTATACACACACACACACACACACATATGGCTCATAACTGAATTGGATGTGAGTCAAAATGTTTTTCCTTGGCAGAAATATTAATGTCATAAGTTCAGTCAAATTTCTGTCCCTCATTACATGAGTTACTTGTTTAAGTTTTATCTGTAGCACTCATTTTATAAATAGCACTCTGGGAATTCAAGATAATGTCTCACTACAAACAGCATGTGACAGGTAAGATGAAGATTATGTGTAGAAGAGTAAAACAAATCTGAGTGTTGAATGAATTCATTTAGTGGTTGCATCTTCAAGGCTCAGATTAATTGGGCTGTTAATTTAGGAAGAAAATCCATAGATAATCCCAATTAGGGTTTATCTTTGGAGCTGGGTAAATCCTTAGTTAGGACAACAAGAGGCAGTTTTCACAAGAGCTGATTATTTCATTATTTATTGAAATAAAAATCATTATTCTTCCCAAGGGTAAAACTGGGTCATAGATGAGTAACATCTCAGTTCTAAAGCCTCCAATCTATATGTGGAGAGGGGGAAGGTGAGAATTTACATATTCATGTTCTGAGTACTTCAAAGGTAAGGATAGTTTTAGGAAGAAACAATAATACCTATCAGGGTTAAAGTAGAATCACAGTAATCCTCAGGTTACTGTAGTTACTATACTGTACAAACACAGGCTTGAATTATTTAACTGAAATAAGTGAAAACATGCACAAACTAATCTAGATTAAATTTTCAGCTAAGGCCGAGAATGGTACCCACTGCTAGTCATTTCAGTAAGGAATTATTATTATTAACTTCATGACATGATTTTTCTGAATCCTACTGCAGTAAGACGTAACAAGAATAAAAAATCTAAATTGTAATAGTGTCTCTTTTAATAATAATGAATTTTTCTCATCATAATTATTGAGGCACATTATTGCTTTATTATTGGCAAAAAAGAGCATTACTGATTATTGGCAAAAAAGAGCATTACTGATTATTGGCAAAAAAGAGAATTACTGATCACTTAGAGCGTATGGTCACCGATTGCCCTGTGATGTGCAAAATTTGCTAAATTAGTTCATTTCCTTCATGCACAAGCTATGACAACAAAGCATTTTTAAGGTCCACTAAACCCACTGGCTCCAGCTTTTATGTGGTCTAAGTAGTAGGAGCCTATTGTCTTATGTATCTTATTTGTTAATCGTTTAGTATTCTTGATTACAATGGAAAAGAGCGGTAACTTGGTAGAAAGAATGACTAAAGGAAACAATGTAAATACAGCAGCATAGTCATGTTCTAGACTAAGGGAAAGCTGGCCAATCACGGTCAGAGTTTCTGTTTTTGAAACTCTAGCATCAGAACATCTCTGGAAAGAACGACTTGGTTGGAATTTGTTCCCAAGTGTACACCCAGAAACTCTACATAGCACATCCTCCACACTTGGGCATTACCTCTGCGAATGCTGTCTCCCAGGGTGATGACCTAGGCTGCACCCTATCTATGCATAGCCCTATGGGACTTCCCTACTGCTGACTCAAGGTCAACTCTGTCTGCTTTCTTCCCCTGCCCTAAAACTACACACAGCAAATCAGGAGTCCTATTGTCTTTACATCAAATCCTTACTGATGGCTAGTTATATGACAGCAATCTGTTGATATCTCTGTAGGCGTTTGACTAATTGTTTAGGCAGCTATAATAAAAGAGAAAAATAAATAAGAAGAATTAAGTTAATACTTGAATCTTCATGCAACTAGATACAATGAAAGAGAAAAGAATTATGGAGAAAATACTGTTTCTTTCCATTAGCTGGTCATTGTAATACCTTATGTAGAAGCATGGTCTCCTTGTTTCTTTGTTTCCTTACAGGCTACAACTTGTTTCTTGTTGCTGCCCACGAGCTGGGCCACTCCTTAGGTCTTGATCACTCTAAGGACCCCGGAGCGCTCATGTTTCCCATCTACACCTACACTGGCAATGGCCACTTTATGCTTCCTGACGACGATGTGCAAGGGATTCAGTCTCTCTATGGTAACTTTTTATTTATCAGTTACAAAAGCAGAATATAATCAGCTGTATACCTAGTTATGCAAGCAGAATAAACCTATACATTTACCTTCTAAATCACTACTGAATTTGCTGCTGCCAATAATGCTGTTCTTATTTTGTTATTAAAACTAGAGGGAAACAGTAGCTGTTTTTTTCTTGCTAAGTCAAAACCAATCCAGTTTGTCAGGGTAGAAATCACTCAAGCAGCCTTCAGTAGTTTTAACCAATATCCTCATGACAGGGTAAGGAATTTTTTTCCCCTCCAAGTTTTCAGTAACACTTACAAAATAATTAAACCTCAGCCCAAACATTTATTTACGGATTACCTGCCATAAATAGAATTAAAGTCACTATTCACAGTCATCAGTGTAAACATTACTGCAGCAAGAGCCCAGAACATTTGCTGTGGCCCCAGCCATCATTGCTCCGTCTGGATTTAAATCTGCTATTACAGCCCACTTAAGGGAAGGCATAAACTCAAAGGTGTCAGAGGAAATTTTCCAGTTTACTCTGCAGTTCTTTTTTGTACTGAGCTACGATGCAGACATTGGTGATGAAGCACAGTGAGCTCAGTGTGGGGTTATGGTACACCCTGGGTCAGTGCAGGTGAGCGGATGTAAAAGTTAGAAACACGGGACTAGCATCAGAGCTGCTGACTCGTCGCTGAGATGCAGCTGCCCTGCGGCCAACTGGGGAAGCAACATCAGCTGAGGTTGACAGCTGGTAAAATAGACATGCAAAAGAGCCAAGATGCGAGCTGCCACAGAGACCAGGTGCCACCAGAAGTGGCTTTCACAGGAATGTGTTTCTCCCAAACCACCGGACAATGAGTTGTGGAAGGTGTGAGGGAAGTTTTCTGTTCATTGCTTTCCCCATTTCTATGACTGACCTCCAGAAATCTAAATTTATAGTCCAGCACAAGCTGAAGGAGTCTTGAAAGTACTCCTCTGGGAAAACCTTGGAAATACTGGAGGAAGGGAGTAGGATTACAGGGCATTTGTCCTTCTGCTGTACCTAGAAGCCTCAGGACTTCCCGCCCTGCCTAGAGGGAGGCTTCTCCTCTCTGTGAGGAGGCTCAGCCTGCTGTCCATGCCTCTCGTCACCCGGAAGGTCAGCCCCGGTAACTTCTCATTTTCCTTTCCTAACCACAGGGCCAGGAGATGAAGACCCCAACCCGAAACATCCCAAAACACCAGACAAATGTGACCCCGCCTTGTCCCTTGATGCGATTACCAGTCTCCGAGGAGAAACAATGATCTTTAAAGACAGGTACTCACGGTTCTTTCATGAATTCTGCACATGACGATAATTTGCAAAGTCGTATCCACAAATTGCCAAAACACCAGTAAAATGTCTAAGGTTCACAGAGAAAATAATAGACTTTTGGCAGTTTATTTACAATTTCAAGTCAAATAAGTGATGGATAAGATCTTCCTTTTTAGTGGATAATCTTAACATTATGCACCTTCCTTTCAATCTTTGATTATAGTCTCTCTTGTAAGATACCAGAGTAAAATAGAAATACAATTTACTTGAAAAACATATTAAAGGGAATTAATTAGTAAGCAGTTACTCGTAGATGTTCGCATGGATGTCCTTTGGCATGGAAAAGGACTTTGATCTGGGGTACATATGTGGAATTTAAGAGACAGAAGTCTTTAAATCTAAACCTAGAGATAATGAAAACGGACATATCATTTTCATTTTCTAGACTTCTGTGTTACGCTTAAGTATTCATCCACCCATCCATTCACTGAGTCCTCCTGTGTGGTCCGATAACATCCACCGCCTCTTCCAGTGGCTCTGCCTGCACTGTGCACCAGGCATTTTCACACATCGTTTTCCCTAGCCCACGAGACAACTGAAAATAGAATCCGAGAGATCCGTGTTTTCTTTCTAAAGCCCGACACAACGCTTGGCACATTTGCTTCTTGCAAGACGTATAAAATGGAAGAAAATATGGTCTCTGCCAAAGAGGACCCAGAGCCTTTCCGAAGGCTTGGGACCTTTCAAGCGTGTGTATCCTCAGCAGGTGTCACGATCGCCCCAACTATAACCGGAACTTAAAGGAATATGGATTCTCCCCCTTCACAAGTGCTAGGGCGCGGTTGCGTTGTCTGCAAGGATGTGGAGAAAAGAGGTTAGCAGGACTGAAACATGGAGTGTAAACTTGTGATGGAAAATTTTCTATTTCTCCTCTTGCATTAGATTCTTCTGGCGTCTGCACCCTCAGCAGGTTGATGCTGAGCTGTTTTTGACAAAATCATTTTGGCCGGAACTTCCGAACCGCGTTGACGCTGCATATGAGCACCCTTCTCACGACCGAATCTTCATCTTTAGAGGTGAGGCGTCCACGGGGGAGGGCAGTGACCAACTTCCTGTTACCACAGATTTCACGAAAGGATCCTTGTGAAAATGTACCCCAGTTAAGAACCTAGTATAACAAAAAAAAACCGGACAGCACCTGAAACTATTCTACCAAATACCTTAAATTTGATATGTAAAAGTCTCATTACTATTTATCATACCCGTTTGTTGCTTCATATCAGTCATTTCAGATTTTTTCTTTCTCTTAAAAATTGTTTACTGAGGAAAATGTAACAGTGTATACCTTGGAAAAGTGAAAGAATATCAACTCGTGATTCCTGTCTCTGTAAATAAGTTAATTTTGTTTTTTCTATTTTCTAGTTTTTTACCATGTTGAATACATATTTTTACTTAACTTCAAAATACAGATACATTTTCATGTTCTATTTGTTTGAGAGAGAATCATGGAAAATTTTCCAAATTGCTGCTATGTTTTCATAATTATAATTTAATATCATGTAAGCATAACATGGTGACATCATTTCCATTATTCAACTATTATAATGTTACAGTGAAGTTCATTTTCCCCCTGGTATTGGGGATAAACTTACTACCTTCTCAATGAGCCGCATCCCCAGCCCTTTGTATTTTGAGGCAGGGTCTCACTGAGTCACTAAGTCGTCTTGTCCTTGGGGTTAAACTTGGAATCTTCCTGCTTCCTCTCACAGAGTCCAGGGATTCCAAGTACATGCCCTCATGCCCTGTTCTAATGAAGTTACTTTTTTAGAGAAAGCAATAACTTATTAACTGATATCAAAGTTGAGTTTCCAATCTCATTTACTGTTCCTATGGTGCTATTTATTCACATAGAAGTTTTAATGTATTTTCTACTCAGCTCCAAACAATATTCAGTCCTAAATTGCCAAATTAATTGTGACACCTGATTGACTATATCCATAGTTAAGCAACTAAGAAATTAAATTCTACTCTTTTCCTTGAGAAATGCTCATATTCTGAAATTTCATAAACATTTTGTCACAAACACTCAGTAGCATATTTCTTACAGTCTTCCTTTGTTTAAGTAAACATCTATATGTATATGAGTCCTCATAGATTCTCTTGGATATGAATTTTTTTCTTTTCTTTTTTTCTAGGAAGAAAATTTTGGGCTCTTAACGGTTATGACATTGTGGAAGGCTATCCCAAAAAATTATCTGAACTGGGATTTCCAAAAGAGATTAAAAAAATAAGTGCTGCCGTTCACTTTGAGGACAGAGGCAAGACCCTCTTCTTCTCAGGAAACCAGGTCTGGAGGTATGGCAGCAAACCCACTGACCCACTTTGCATCATGGGGCAGAGTGAACCCCAAATATCTTTTTGTACTCCAGGTTATCATCTCATGTTATTTTCAGTGTCACACTAAACATTTATTTCTTCTATGTCACCTTCTTCAGGAAGTCCCTCCAGTGTGTATTTAAAAGTCTCACACCCTCTGAAACACACACTCTCAAACACACACTTTCCTGTTCCACCTGATTCAACCATTCTGTACTTTCTCAGCTATTCATTGTACCTCAAACACAGCAAACCATGCTTTTCTACTTTGGCACCGTCATTTCGTCTGGTCTTTCTCCTGGCTTCTACTTCCCACCACTCCTACTTTGCATATGGTTCCATTTCCAGCAGTTAGAGAGGATATCAGAATGGGTAAGGTAAAGACTGGTTGAGAAAGGGCTCCATGTTTGCAGAATTGGCTGATCCATTAGACAGGTGACCAGGAAGGTGACAGACCCATAGTTTGTGGAGTCAAATTTTCTGAAGGACAAATATTTAAACCATATGTAGAGATTCAGGCGGCGTTGACATCAGCAGTATTTAGATCCATCCTACATTAGGGAATGGCAATGTATTGTAGGAATACAGCACTTGAAATCTTTAGCATGGAAACTTTACTCTGTGTGCGCGCGCACACACACACACACACACACAGCCCTGTATATCGCCAGTACCTTTTGAAGTCTTTATTTCTGGCAATGACATTCATACCCTTCTCAAAATTACTGACAGCTTTTACAGGCATGCACACGCGCGCACGCACACGCACACACACACACACACACACGTGCATGCACCCTATGCTGCGCTGGAAGTCTGTGGTTCAGTCAGGATGAATTGCTTACTGTATCTCAAATGCATTGTGTTTTATAGCTTCTCCACTTCCCTTATGAAATTTTCTTTGCTGTGAGGTCTTTTACTGCATCTCTCCCTCTTGAAAGTCTATTGAATATTATTTCGTGTATAAGATCTTTTTGATCGCCCCATTCTGAGGTTACCTCTCTGTTGCCTGTATTCTGGGAGCACTTCGCGTTTATGGCCTCATGACACCTCACTTCTGCTGCCCAGTGCTGCCGTTATGGGTATACACGGCCAAGCTGTCTTGATGGCTACCTTCCACCTGTTGGGAGTGTACCGCAAGGACAGAAAACACTGTCTTTGTGATGGTAGTACGTTCTGGGAGCCTGTTCTTGGCTAATCTGAGAATGTGTTGGTTGGCCAGGGTGTGGTATGGGCAGGGGAGAAGTCTGACCTATGCAGGTAGGGAAGGGGAAAGCTATACTCTTCTTACCTTTAGTATGACCAAATGCTCCCATAACTTTTTAGTACAAAAATTAACCTTAATTTTTTTATTCATTACTGAACTTAGAAATTGTCTGACACAAAGTGGGAGATCAATAGGTAATTGGTCAATGCATACACATGTATTTATTTTATTTTAAGAACACTTTCTTGGTGACATACTTTTATAGCAGATATATAATTTGTGAAATGGGACTGTGTGTGACTATCTATACAATAGGGTGTGACTATCTATACAAAGATGGCCTTTAAGCAAGTCAGCAAATGCTCATCAAACACCCACTATACCCTCAGTAATGTAAATCTTATGAGATGCTTTAAGGGAGCTTAAAACTTTAAAACTTGCTACTTTGAAAAGGTGCTATTATATCCATTGTGCTATTTCTAAACCTTTTTTTCTTTTGAGATGGTTTCGTCATTACCTAGGCTGGCAGTTCTCCTGCCTCAGCCTCCAAAGTAGCTGGGATTAAAGGCGTATACCATCGCACCTGGTTTAAAATAATTTTTAAGAAATACAACTTACTTAAGAGTTTATTTTTCTCTTTAAATAGATATGATGATACTAATCATGTTATGGATAAAGACTACCCTAGACTGATAGAAGAGGTCTTCCCAGGAATTGGTGATAAAGTGGATGCCGTCTATGAGAAAAATGGTAACTAGTTATATTGCATTGATTTACAAGAACAATCTTTTCTGTAGCCCCTCAATTCTTTCCCATACAAAAGATTTCAATACAGTGCTTAGATATACTAACAAATGTGTAGCAGTGAAAGCATTAATCATTTCTGTGTGATTACCTACACAGATAGCAAACAAAAAAATAATCTGTTTAGAATAAATGAGAAATTTACTCAAATATTGTTACTTATATGAGATGGCAAACCTTAAACGTTACCTTAATTTATATGTAAAGACACCAAGTGCAAAGGGTATTGCCAGAACTCCCTCTAAGGGTGGGGTGGGGAATACTTTACATGTGAAGACTCGTAACTGTCATATCCATATAAAGATTTTTTGCCTTCATTATGAAAGTGTATTAGCCTTAACTTACAACATGTGCTAATATCAGTATTTCTAGCATCAAAAGTGGAACTGATGGCAGAATAATTAATTCTAGGTAATAATTAAGGATATCTAGGAACATGTATCCCTTTTTAAGCTATAAGTAATGTATATCTTTTTGCTTTTATTAGTACACGTTTGCCCTACACGACGATGGCTTAAATTCATGGTAGGGAACTGGTACATGCACACAGCACATTTCAATTCTTTTTCCCCTTCCCTCTGCACCCCCTTCTATTTTTCCAGCATCAGGTTCATTTATTTATCTTATAAAACCTTATAAAGTTAATGATCATACACAGATTGAAAACCAAACTAAGAGGGCAAAGAACATATGAAACATGTAAGACAATTCTACTAAGTTAAGGTATATTTTTAGATACGTTGTCTGTGCTGCATTACAATACCTTTTTTTCTCCCTTTTTTTCCTAGTATTGGTCTTTTATTTTGTACTTTATATACATTGAATTTTTCATATAACAGCTATAAGTAATATATTAAAACATTGGTAGGATTTAAAAAGATAAAAAAGATAAAGTTTAGAAAGTTAAAAGCAAAAAAGGGAAAGTTAAAAATAAATGAAATCTAGCAGATTGGATCTTTAATATTAGCTTTATTAAAACCTGATTATTCCCAAACTGAATAATCAGATTCCTGAAATTCTTCCTGTGGTCTTTTTCTTGCAGGTTACATCTATTTTTTCAATGGACCTATACAGTTTGAATACAGCATCTGGAGCAACCGTATCGTTCGAGTCATGCCAACAAATTCTCTGCTGTGGTGTTAAATGTCTTTAAAAACTGTTATTTAAGCTGGAGAGCATTTGGGCTAATACTTCCAGAAGCACGGGGGCAGGGGTGGGAGAAGGCATCGGGGAGAGCTTAGTTCTGTGAACAAGCTTCAGTAAGTTATCTTTGAATCTGCAGTATCTATATGACTCCGCGTGGCTGGAACCACACTGAAGAGTTTCAACATAATGAAGTTGAGTACCTCTAAGAATCATCTGATTCTGGTATGCTATGTGAAAGCAGTAGCTGATGCTATATCCCACAGCAAAATGGGATAGAAAGTCAGTCAATGAGAGCATGGTTTTTAAATGTATTTATAAGAAAACTTATGAAGGCCTAAAGGTAAATTACAATTATATAATTATAAATCATCATTAAAATATGAAATAGTATAAATAGAAATTTAGGGATGTATGTGGTAGCCATACATGAACATCGATACAGGGAAATGTCTGTGATAAATTTGTAGACAACTTTTGAAAAGACAGTTTAGGTGTTTGCACTGAAAAGATTCAGTTGTCCATGCCCCTCTTCACACAGACACTAAGAAAACATCGCAAGTCCTTAAAGAAAGGAGATAAAGACTAATATGAGGATAGTAGATGTGGCCTTGGATTCTGTTTAATTTTTACTTTTGCTAATGACTCAAGGGCAGCTTTCAATAAGATAGATATTCTCTTGCATATTGATAAACAATGAAGAAAGAAACTCTCTCTTTTTATTAAAATATTCCAGATCTTTGAAGTCATACTCTAAACATTCAAATCATTAACAAAATAATTTAGATGATATCATTTTTTCATAATCATTTGATTATTTAACACTAAAAGTGTTGTTTTAACCCTAATTATTTTCATTATCCAGTGTACCATGGATATATAGACTATTTTCTAAAAACTTATATAGAAGAAAATGAAGTACATCTTATGAATTACAAGTATATATTTTAAAACAGAGACATTCAAAATAAAGAAAGTAGTCCACTAGATTGTGGTCCCCTTGAAATAGAGAGCCATGCCTGTCCTTTCTCTTTTTCTCCTCCCTCTCTTTTACTTTCTTTCTTTCTTTCTCCCTTTCTTTCTTTCTTTCTTTCTTTCTTTCTTTCTTTCTTTCTTTCCTTTCCTTTCCTTTCCTTTCCTTTCCTTTCCTCCCTCCCTTCCTTCTTTCCTTCCTTCCTTCTTAGCTTCCTTCTTTCTTCATGCTCTCTTTTAATTCCTCATCACATTTCACAATGCCTGGACACTTGGTGGGTACTGGCCACTCACTGAATATGTGAATGGACACCAAAGGAAGAATTATTGGACTTTGAAACCTTGTTTATAAAAACTCTGGCAAAAAAACCTGAAGTGTATAATTACATATTGTATTAGAAAGTGTTTATGTTGTTTCTAATAAAAAGATATTTTCAACAGAGTTATAATTTGAAGTTCTCAAAACTTTACACACCATTGTTTATTGAATGTACTTTCTTCCTTCCTGCCTCACTCCCTGTCCCCCTCCCCTTCTCTTTCTCTGCTCTTTCCTCTCCTTCTCACCCCTACCCCCTTTTCTTAACTAAATTCAGGATATAGAATTAATTGTACCAGGCTCCATTAGTCACATTCTGTTCAGTCTAGTTCTGAGGAGACCCTTCTTTCTGGGCCACCTTCCCTAGGGGGCGCACACATTCCTCAGTGGAACTCTATATCTAGAGTCAGGAAGACTGAGTTACAAGTCTCCCTCTCCTCTGAACGATGCCCTGTGACTTTGTCCTGGTCATTTCACCTCTGTGGGTCTTACTTCCTCATTTGCAAAATGGCCACTGTGGTGAATTGGGGGAAATGCAGTGGTGTTCAGGGATTCTGGGAGAATGCAGGCTCCCCCGGCTCAAGTTTAGGTCCCTGCTGTTTCCTAAACTTTGTGCTTCCCCAAACGTTTACTAGCAAGCACAATCTTCATCTCAGTTCCCAATAAGGCTGATGTGCTACTGTGAGACAAAACTGTAAGACAATTAAGTTTGGACAGTTAAGTGCTCTTTAGGGGAGAAATAACCTTGTTCTGTGGGAACAGAGGGGACTGCCGGTTCCTTTCTCCGGTGTAACAAACAAAGGCTGCACAGTTTTCACCTTCCTTGACAGTATAGCAGGATTCCTGATGCCCAAGGCTTGCAGCCAGGGATAAGAGTATAGTACAGCCTTGCAGGTCACCCCTGCGCCGGGGTTCCCCCCGCTAACAGCATTCAGCTGCGAACTCCTCTCAATGGGTCAAGCCATGATGAGCACAGCAGCCCACGACCCAATCGCCTTTCAAAAGCCCCACTTCTGAACACAAGAAACCTAGGAGGGTCCATTTTAGGTCCGAACCATAAACAGGCCCGGGAATCTCTGTATTAGCAAGCCCCTTGGCCTCCCGTGTCCCACAGGAAATACCAGAAAGCAGCTACAGACGTGCTCCTTGCTTGTTTCTGAGACAGATTATATAGCTGACTGCAGCGGATTCCATCCTTCCTGCTGCGGCTGTGGGGGCCTTCCGGTCTACACTTCTTTCCGCTGTCTCTGTTGCAGACTCCCACATTAGAGGCTACCGTAGTCCTGTGCGGGAGAGATCGTCTTTGCCGAGCAGGTTTCCCAGACCTTGCTTGGACACAGAATATCTTACTTTATGTATTAGCCGGAGTTCTCCAGAGGACAAGAGTAGAATATTGTAAGAGGGGATTTATTAGACTGGCATACGTGGTCAAAGGCTGAAAAGGTCCACAACAGCCGTCTATGAGATGGAGAGTTGGGGAAATCAGTAACTACTCAGCCCACGAAGCTGGAAACCTCAGAACAAGAGGGACCAGTGGTGCAGCACGGTGTGAGGGTGCAGGCCTGAAAACCTCCTTCAGAGTCGCTGGGAAAAGGCTCCATTCAAAGGTTGAAGTATCTAGTGCCTGATGTCCATAGTCAATGGCAGCAGCACAAATGCACCTGCCCAAGAAGCCTAGCCTGTGCATACATGCAGTCTCCCTTCCTGGCCTGTGATACCCGCTGAACCCCCAAACGGCTGGCAGTGCTGCCCACCGTCAGGCCAAGTCTTCCCCACATAGTCCCCTGAGCCACATACTTCATGCCCTAATATCCCTCCCTGAACTGTGCTTTGCTACCAAATCTAAGCCCTAGGCACACAAGGTACGTACCTTGATTTTAAGGATCCTTCCTGAGACTGTGTCATTTACAATAGTTCCACTAGGTGCCAGCAGCTATGCTTTTTTTTTTTTATACTGAAATGTTCCATTAATTTGAATAAATCTCAGAACAAATGCTGTGTTTGTTAATGTGGGGATGAAGAAGTTGGCCAAATCACCGATTATGCAATGCTTGATTTTATGTAACTGACTTCAATAAGATTTAATTGCTTTGAATTCAAGAACACTTTGCTCCAGTTTTCTTAGTCACGTGTTTTCGTGTCACTCATGTCACAGGCGTGCGAGTGAGCGTGGTGCCTCACGCCACCAAGATACGTAACAGACGGAGGGGTTCAGGCTTGTCAGTCATCACGGGCCTCTCGGTGACAGACTCCAAGCAATGTGAATCACAAAACATACAAAGTGCACAGAAAACAGCACCCAAAGAGAAACCAAATGAGCTCTATTACAGCAGCAAGAGGGAAGAAAATTCAAGCTAGCAGGCATGATAAATCTTGTTTTCCAAAGAAAAGAAATGAATACTTGCTTGCCACCTTAGACAATGTCAAGTTTAGAGGAAAGGGGTATTTAAAGTCTCAAAGTTCTCTGCCATATGGCTTTGTTTTTCTAATGTTTTGACTTTATAACTGACATCCTAAATGGTAATCTATTAGGACTTCCTGATACCCTGAAGTGTGTGAGATGTGGATCGAGGGTTAATTGGTTTGGTGAAGTAGACCTCGCTGTTTACAAGGCACCCAAACTGAGCTGCAGCTAACAGGGACCTCTGGAAAAATCAAAGTGATCTGAATTTAGAGCAACGACACGGCTATTTGACAGTCAGAAAAAATTCAAAAGAAAAGAGCACGACAAGCAGTCAGATTCCATAGGGCTGTCCCTGGTGCACCTCTCGCTGATACAATGACCGAAAGGAGTCAGAAACCAGAAGTTAAAGAGGCCCAAAAGGAGCAGGCTATCAGGGCCTCCGAGGCAGCAAACAGGGCTAAGCAAGCACTGAAATAGACCACGACGGCTGCTGCTGAGGCAGCCCACAAAAGCAGAAGATCGGGAAGCCTGTGCAAGTTTCTGCTCCCTGAGCTGGTGGAAAATACTAAATTGGCAGATCAGATTTTTAAATAAAGATCTGTAATTCTAAAAAACAAAACAAAAAGCTTTATACAAGTTTATCATGTGTCTTACCTATGCAAAATCTCGGAGACATGAAATTTCTCTTCCGTGTGTGAATGCAAACAGGTCAAATTCTACTCCATACATATTCAAAATTAATATAACCTACTCTACAATTAATCACTACTCTACAATTAATAATGTCAGCACACATCAACAGGGCAAAGAGAAGTACTCAACATCCAGAGAATTGCCAATCTCATAAGTGTTGGTTGTAATGGGATGAGACTTGTGATTCAAATCTACCTGTTATCTTACAGTTCTTTACAAGTGATGACATCATCACACCCATGTCATAACTTTATGCTCGATTAAAGGACATTGATAAAACATCCTTAAATGTGTCCCTGTCTTTTGCACCAAAACCATTTAAAATTAGCAGCTAAGAGGTTTTCTTTTGGAGCATTTCTTTTTTTTTTTTTTTGGTTTTTCTCCGGTACCAGGAACCGAACTCACAACCTTGTGCTTGCCAGGCAGGCACTTTTGCCGCTGAGCTAAATCCTCAGCCCCTTTGGAGCATTTCTTTTTCAGTGAGTATGCACACCATCAGCTTTCCCTTCCTTTAAACCCACCTGTCCTTTAGTGGACTGGGCACTAAAAGATAACACAGTACAGGTAACAAGCAAAGCAGTTTTTTTTTAATTTTAAAAAGTAAAAGTCTGACAAAACAACAATAAAGACAAAATTAAAACAACATGAAAACAACAAAAATGATACATGACCTCAAAACAAAATGATAGAAATTTACAGTGGTTGCTATATTACATACTGTTGACGTCAATGAAGTTGCTCAGTCCACCAGACATAAGAAGGTAAGACTGATCAAACAATCAAAACAGTAACAAGTAAAAAATAAATAAATAAAAAATAAAACATTGGAAATGACGCAGAGCTTCACCATACAAGATGGAAGGCGTTCACCAATGGTTCTTACATTGCACATTGTTTTCAGATCAGTCATTCTGATCACCAGATTCAAGCACGCAAAACTGGTCAAGAGAAAAGAAAATTTTAAGCATTGGCTGTTCCTTCCAATAAACCATAGACGTTAGCAATACACCAATTTCAGATATCCTTATATATACATATAAATTTTGTTTTTCATTAAAAAAAATAACAAAAACAAATACATGAATAAAACAGCATAGAGAGTAATAAAATGATACAGAATTTCAAAACATGGTGATAGGATATTAACAATGGTTGTTACATTACGTAATGCCATCTTCAAAATGGTTGCACATATAACCAGATATAGACATGCAAAGTTCATCAATTACACATTAACAGTTCCTTTCAATAAACCAACAGATATTAGCAGTACAATTATCCTAGCTATCCTGTGTATATGTATACATATTTTTCCCTCTTCTTTCTTTTTCCTCTCCCCTCTTCATCCCAGCTGCTCTTTCCTATTTGAGTAGTTTCTGTTCCCTTTCACAATATCTATTGTACCTTTCAGATTTTATTTACTCTTTCAGGTTCTTATAGTAGGGAGGAAATATGATGTTTACACATGTGAATCTGATTTATTTCACTAATGAGTATGGTCTCTAGTTACATCCATTTACCTATAAAAGCCTCTAGTTTATCTTTAT